CACCTTTTTTTAACCTCCGTGATTATAGAGAAATAATGCTCTGCAGCTTCTTAAAAATCTTAAAAATGTATACATTTGTTTTTTAATCTGTAAGACTCCTTGTCATACAGTAAGGCTTCAGAGAAAGTTCTTTGTGACTGGGTTTCCCTTTCTTTTCCTAGTGATCACAAGATGCTTTCAACCTGATAATGAAAAAACACGTAACTATCTTCAGGCATCCTGAGCAGAGGATGCTTAATACAGAAGTGTAACCAAAATTTGTTGCAAAATTATTACAATGTTAATATTTGGATCCAACTGCAATTCAAAAGAGTGAAACACAGTGAGAGCCCATGCTCTCACAAGGACTCACTGTTCAGAAGTGTTCAGTTCTGCATCCATAAACTGCATCCAAACTGATTTTGCAAAAACTGCATTGCAGTAACAATGTATTAAGATCAGGTTCATACCGTTAACTTACTCATATGTAAGCAATGGAACATCACTCTTCCCTTCTCTGGTTGTGACAACATCACGTTTGACACCATACACTCTTCCACAACTGTCTTTGGCCAGAAGATCAAAAATTTCATTATTATATACTTCGACAACTGAAACCTCAACCCAGTAACTTCCTGGTGGCTTTTCTGAAATAAGCCTGCAGAATAAAAACAGAAGGGGGGAAAAAAAAGAGGTTATCTCTCCACAACCTTGGTGCAGAACTCAGAAAAAGTAACTTTTGACTGTATTTAAGCCACACAACCTGTTTCTGTAGTGTGACCTAATTGTGATTTCTGTGTGATATTCCACTCCCCTCTATTGTCAGGACCCATGCACAATTGTACGTGAAGTGTAGGTTGTAAAATATGATTACTGTCAAGAGGAAAACACATGCAATCCTAAACCCCCAGAAAAATAATCATAAAAATAATCATGAAATGACATAGCAGCATTTCAGATCATGCATTATGTTCAACAAATAAATCTAGCCCCAGCAAGATCACTTACAGAAAGTCTGTTATCATCCTCTGTGGGACTGGGTTCTAACTTGGATTCCTTTCATCTGCTCAACTGGCAACCCTCATAAAACTTTTAAGAACTTAAGTAACTTTTGAATAAGTTTTAACCCTATTTGTGACAGAATAAAAGACATTTGGAATCTGTAATACAGATGGACAGACACACTGAGCAGGATTGCATAATCTTAAATTTCTTAGGAAATCTAGCTAAGCAGGAGAGAGACTAGAAGGCTGTATGAAATCTCAAGTAGTGCTGTAGTTACTAATAATTTTTAAATTGAAATCTGTAATGATAAATTATAAGCATTATTTATTCTTTCTATAAAGCTAAATGTGAAAACTCTGTATGCATGCTGCTGACAAAACCCTTAACTCTTACTAGGTCAGTGTTATCAGGTCAGTGTTACCTGAACACTTCCTGGGTAGCTCGAGGAATGATTCCAAGTTCTGATTCATCTTCTATGGAGAATGCAGGGTTCTTCTCTAACTGTGGTCCCAACATTGTATATGTCTTCCCACTTCCAGTCTGCCCGTAAGCCATGATACACACATTGTACCTGAAAATCAAAAGTGAAAAAAAAA